ACTCTCTCCACAACCACCACCACCACCACCCCGGCCGCTCAAGGCGAACTAAGAGTCGCCGGTCCCAGCCACGCGTGCAACGCTCTCCGCGCGCCACCTCTAGTCGAAAATGTAACATCAACGTCGTCGTCTCCAGTCCATCATCAGACTGTCCATCAGATCGTCAATCTTCACCGTTCCATGACTCCATGTTTGTCCCGTCGTGGTGCCCTTGCTGACAAGTCTGGCTGGCACACTCACGGTCCGAACCAGCTCGAGCAGCGTGCCCACTACGCCCAGGATGGGTTACAATCACCGTGATATCTCATGCTGCTGTAGCATGGCAGTCGACTGGGATCAGCCTCCTAGCATCGACACCATGGCCCGCGTTGTACCACCACGTTCACCTTGCCGTCCATTGCAGCGGTGGTGGGATGGCTCTTGTGACCCACCACGAATGCATCGTCAAGTGCTGGACGGATGGGGACAACGGCCATCAGGACAACGTCTTGAGTGAACGTGGTCGGATCCGGCCACTCGGCCGGTCTCCAGTCTCGACAAAGGAGACCCTGACTTGCTGATCGAGCTTGCGGACTGTGGTAGTACCACTTGCTATGACGGCACTGATGCGGAGCATCAGGACTGCTCACTCTTAAAACTTCGCGCATCTGCTGCAAAGGTGTCCGCCCAGTTTTCACGGCAACCCGCTCGAGTCTCACAAGCAACACTACACATCATGTACGCATATGCACTGTTATGTCGGCTACGAGCAGAACGCTTACCGCTTACAGGCGGCTGATTATTAGGGACGATCCTCAGGCGGCGTCCAAGTACGTTGCTGACTATGTCATTGGTGCTTGGCCCACTCCCTTGCGGGAAAGACGCACCTCAGCTAACGCCTAGGCATAGAACGCATCAAGACGTTCAATCCTACAGCAGAGCGGCCTTTTGTGTTGGGCTTGCCCACGGGAAGCAGCCCAGTCCTCATATACCAACATCTTGTCCATCGCCACAAGGCGGGCGAAATCTCATTCCGCAATGTCATCACCTTCAACATGGTAAGAGAATAGGTTCCGCGGTGCCTTTCACCGTATTCCTTCCCTGCCAAGCCTGTCACAACAGCAGGTTGAGGAGAGCTGACCCACTTAGGATGAGTATGTTGGGATCCCGCGGGACCATCCGGAGAGCTACCACAGCTTCATGTATAAGCACTTCTTCTCCCATGTCGATATCAAGCCCGACAATATCAACATACTCAATGGCAATGCTCCTGATCTTGAGGCGGAATGCTTCCAGTACGAGGAAAAGATCGAGCAAGTCGGTGGTATCGAGCTCTTTCTTGGAGGGATTGGGCCTGACGGACACATCGCATTCAATGAGCCGGGTTCCAGTCTCCAGTCTCGAACACGTGTAAAGACCCTTGCGTATGAGACCATACTCGCCAATTCAAGGTTCTTTGGGAACAATCTGGATCAAGTGCCCAGAATGGCTCTGACAGTAGGCGTACAAACTGTGCTCGATGTGAGTAACGTAGTTCAGTTCCAGCTCAGCTTGTCTCACATTGTGTTAGGCGCGAGAGGTACTCATTATCATAACGGGCGCACACAAGGCCCTTGCGCTCCAGAGATGCATAGAGGGCGGTGTGAATCACATGTGGACACTGTCGAGCCTCCAGATGCACCCACACCCAATGATTGTAGTCGATGAGGACGCAACTTTGGAATTGCAGGTCAAGACAGTCAAGGTACCTACATGGATGGATCCAACCCTTGCATGAGCCAGGGATACTGACCAACGCCAGTACTTCAAGAGCATCGAAAAGGTATCCAATGAGCTTGGGTTCCGACAAAAGCTTCCGCGAAAGCGCGATTCACTTGTTGACGAGGGCACCTTGCTAGTGCCTGAATCCCAAAGTTCTGGTATCAAACTGACTGTACCTCCATTCGACATTTCACGTTCGACAAGTCCGGTGCTGGAGCCAATGAGCGCACGTCTCACGGATGAGGAGGCTAAGTTGCTGCGCCCCATGAGCGAGCTCGAGGATCAACCGTCGATTCGCATGAGCGCTCGTGTCGAATCCTGATGAACCCATTTACCGGGAACAGCGCACCGAGGACCGCACTTTTCACAAAGGACTAGGGTTATGTTGTTTGCTTGAGTTCGAGGTTGTTTAGGCAGTCAGACCCGAGACCAGGATGGTCCGCCAGAGAACAGGGGTGACATGATTGCCGTCGGCTTCTAGAACTGGGGCCGAGAGATTGTTGGCATGTACGAGTTTTGAATATTGTGTCAGTAACAGGTGCGAAGTTCACGAGAGACTGTATTGCAGATTTGGGTATTGTCGAATTAGCCCAGCGAAGTTGCATAGATGGATGAATGATGATACCTTGGAGTAAAAAATTGGATCATCTACACAGAGCACAAGGTGTTTATTGGTTGCTTGTAACTGCGTACGACAGACGTTGTTTCGGTGTAGCAGCACTCATCATGTGCAAGGCTACATACGCCATGATTTTGTATATTGCAAGTATGGGTAGGCTGCCTATACTAGAGTCAAAGGTAATGAATACAAAAGCATGTGCAGTGACGGGGGAGGAGTGGGACTCCGATTCTTGACCGCCGACCGAGCAATCATCAACGATGCCAACTTCCCCTTTCCCCCCCCGAGTACCTTTACCTGGCTATTCCTCCATGTCAAACCGAAACCGCGGCTCTCTCTACGACCCATTACTTTA